GCAGGCTGGAAACAAGTTGATGGCATCTATGAGTATGGAGCAGGCTTGCCATGCGTTGAAGCCTGACTATGATATTGAGAAGGATAGCCAAGAAGAGTTGAAACAGCTCATGGAGGCACAACAAGGGCAACATGTTGTGGGGGAGGGGTAGACATGGTCTTTGGGATGTTCTTAGGTCCAGTCCAGTCTAGTCAACTAACATCAACAGTGAGCAGCAGCAAATTTCCTATTGCAGTATTGCAGTGCAGTGTGTTGGTGACAACGCACATTAGGAATAATGTTGTGTACCGTTGCTGTTACCGTTCGCCGTTTGCATTCTTTTTGATTGTCACAGGACGCTGCAAAACACATGATGGATTTGGACCAGAGTCAGCTCATGGCAACTCCGGATAAGTTCACAACTTTGCGCATGACGTATTCCAACCCGGGCGATGTGCTTTACATCCCAGCCGGCAGCTTGCTGGTGGAAAAGGCATTGGGGGCACATTGCATGGCTCTCCGTGTGCCATTGACTTTGGTTTCGCCGGCATGCAGGATGACACCAACTCTCTTTTTGCGAAGGCCAAGAGCCAGTCGAAGGATCCGAATATTGGTTGCACAAGAGGAACTTTTTTTTGTCACGTCAAACCGCCTGTCATTGTCATTAACCATTGGCTGCTTTACATAGATCATTGGCCACGTAGCAGCCACCACATTCACCACATTGACATTAGGTTTCTTCTGTTTACTTACTTCTTACATTTGTTGACAAGCCGAGGAAGCTTGCTGCGCAAACCTTTGGACGGATGATGCAAGATATCTACAAAGAGTCTGCGTCCACTCCAGCCTCTGTGCCAACCATGATTCTTGACAAAGCAGGTGACTCTGTTTGTGAGATTGACTTGCACAATCCTCCCACACAGATCCGGGACTTGCTGATGGAGAACTCGGACCTGGTTGTCAAAACAATCGACCGGATCAAACAACATCCAAAGTTTGCACGCTATTTGAAGTTCCTCCTGTTGGAGGGAATCGTTGAGGAGGATTTCGAGTTTGGACACGAAGACGGGGATGCTGTGGAAGATGTCATTCACTTTTGTAGCTATCTTGCTCGCGATCTCAATCCTGCGCCCGTGGCGGCGGCTGAGGGAAAAGATGATCACACACTCAAATCAACCAGCCAAGGTGGCATGGTCCTGGACTACATCATGAGCCATGACAAGATCAAAGACATGCTGGAGGAAGATTTGGAGAGTGAGAATCCCAGATACGACTTGGAACTCGAGGTGAAACGCATCAAGTCCAATGATTTGTTCCAAACCTACTTCTCTACCAGAGTTGCTGAGAATGATTTCGCTGATGACTACGAGTTTGCAAGTGATGGCGACCCTGTGGATGACATTGTGGACTTCATTAAGTTCCTGCAAGACCCACAAAACAACAACAAGATTGTGAACACTTTAGTTGAGAGCTTGTCGGAGCACCCAATGGAAGTCATGGAAGTTCAGAATGGGCAGGCTGCGAATGGCAATGAAAAGGATGAAACAAGGTCTATGGATGACCAAGGAACAGTTGAAACAGGGGCTGAAGGACATAGAAGACAAGAAGCAGCAGCCCTGGAAGGACAGCACATGGAGGAGGAGAAGCCTACAGATGAAGCAAAGACAATAGAGGAAAAGCCTGAGAATGAGAACTGTGACAAAGGAGATACAGCACAAGCACAAGAAGCACTGGACGGACAGCCCATGGACATGGAGGAGGATGCTGCAGAGAAGCGTGATGAGCATGGAGAAGGTGGCAAAGGAGATAGAGCCGCAGCAGCAACAGCAACAGCAGCAGCAGCACCTCAGGAGTCTCAGGAGAAAGACACACATCCGAATGAAATGGAGGTAGTGGTGGAGGCCAAACTTGGGGATGCGGGTGATGGAGGTGGAACAACAATGCCAGGCGAAGTCCCCATGGCCATGGAAGAAGAAGAAACAGCAACAACAGCGGATGAAGCAACACGTATGGAGGAGGAGGAAGAGGAGAAGAGCCAACTTGCAGCTGCAGCAGCAGTAGCAGCCAAAGAGAAGAAGCATTCGCACAAAGACAAGAAGGAGAAAAAGGAAAAGAAGGATAAGAAACAGAAGGACAAGGATGCTGATCAGAAGAAAAAAGAGAAAGGCAAACATGACAAGAAGAAGAAGAAGCAGGAAGAAGACAATGCCAAGAAGTTGAAGACTTCCAAAGAAAAGGAGAAGGCGAATACCAGTATCAAGACGGTTGTCGGTAAGGGCAAGTTTGCGATGGCAGAGTCGAAGGCCAAGGCAAAGGCAAAAGCAAAGACAAAAGCTGATGTCATGGCAGAGATCAAGGCTTCTTCCAAGCGCAAGGTTCCGGAGACTGTGTCAGCATCATCAGCCAAGACCAAGACTACGAAGAAATCAAAGTCGGAAATCTCCAAGTCCAATGAACTCTGGACTGACGACAAATGAATTGTTTATTTTATTGTTTTTTGGCCGCGGCGGTGGGGGGGTGCAGGGGGCGGGCTGGAGGCAGGGGGTTCCCGGGTTCCTTCAAGTTTTCAAAGCCCAGTCCGTCCAGTCCAATAAATAAAACAAAAAAAGGTGACTCATTTGTAGTGGAGTCACTTTTGCAGTTATTGCATTGTACTTACAAGCTTTGGGTTTGACTCAGTGGTTTGTGTTTACATGTAATTACTAAACATATGACATTGAGCTAAATATAAAATAGACTGCACTTAGCTTCAAAAGATATAATATTAGTATATACTAAATACTATACTAAAACACTAAGTTTCAATATTGACTATGTCACTATACAATAGTAATACCCCATTTTGAGGGAATCTGAAAGAAATATCACCGGAGACACCCGCACTTCAGTCTCCTCCATTCTTCCAGATCCAAACTTCAGATTCAGACTCAACTTCAAAACAAACACTGTTATGTTTCCGGCTATTCAGGACGCTCCTGTGCATTTCGCACCAATGCCTGGACATCCCGCAACCGGCCCCGTGATCCAGTCCTTGATGAAGGGCGCCAAGGGCGCTCAAAAGTGACCGCGTGACCAGCATGGCTCAGCGATCTTAGACACATTTGTGTTTATGTATCAGTATTGGTATCTTGTGATGTGAAGTGACTGTGATTTCAAAGATCGAAAACTGTCAACCCACTGACCCACTAAGCAAGTCAAACTGTTTGACATTTGTCAATGTTCAAGTTCCTTCTTGTTCTTTGTTCCTCCGCTGAGCTAGGGTAGCCGGCTGTTTGTAGCCAACCATGGGATGGGCTGAGTCTTAGGATCCTTTTGCCAGGGAAAGAAACTGGTGAAGGGAGGGCCCGCGTAGCATACTGGACAATGCAACAAACTCATGTTCCAAGACAAAACTTGGAGTTCATGTTCCTTAAGCCATTTTGCCTCGGGGTTTGGCATTTGGCGCCAATCCAATGTACTACCATGCAGATGCTCTCCAATTTGCACTCTGCTCAAAGAGAGAAAAAGCTTGAGCTGCGGTCCTCTTGCAGTGGAAAGGTTTTTTTTTCTTGCTTGGGAGGTCTGAGGTGCTTTTGGTATGAAATATGGTTCACTGGCTTGTGTGAAAAATATAAAACTTTTTCAGAATGAACTACACCCCTCCCCCCATCTATTTGTGCAACTTAGCATGCTGACAGTACTGAAAACATGCAGCTGCCACTGTCGCAGCAATCTGACGGCCTCGTTGAGGGCAAATCATGAAGCTGCTAGTGCTTTATGTTATATATGTGTTACATTGGCCAAGGGCAACCTGGATCTGGCAAAGGCACACGCCTCCACGCTTGCTGGGACCGTCGCTTCAGCAAGGTTGGCTGGACCTGCTGCGCTCGACGCATAGTGGGCAAGGTTGTACCGGCTCCAATCATCGGTTCCACTGTGGACGCGCTCCTTCGCTCCGGGGACACAATGTCGGGCTCGGTTCAATTTGATTGCCGCCACCACATCCACATAGGAGTGGGTGAAAGCCAACCACCTCCAGGCTGTAGCAGTGCAAGTGAGACTTTTGAAGCAATTGATCTCCAAAAAGAGCTTGGCCCTTTGACTGAACTCTCTCCACGGCAGGTCCTCCGTTTTCAGCCGTGGCTCGGATGAGGAGGAGAAGGAGGCACCGCCAGCACATAAGCCGCCGCGGTGCCAACAGCTACTTCCACACAGCCCAAAGCTCACGAGTACCGGAAAGGCCACAGTGGATCAGAGGTTCTCTGAGGCCGCGAACATGGATGCCAGTCGCAGCGCTGAATCTGCTGGCAGAGAGCACCGGCAGACGCGGCAAAGTTGTCATCGTTTCTTCACATCTAGGCAGAGATGGCAACACGCAACGTGCGCGCAACCAGGCTGCCAACGGCCGCGATTGTCACAACGAACACTGTTGCAAACGACATGTAACAGCCCTGTGCACGCTGCCGGCATCAAAGGATTGCCACCGTAACAGAGACTGGCTGAAGCTCAAGTCATACTTTATGAGGGCATCCTTTTTGTTTTTTGTTTCCACTTCCTTCGGTAAATCCAAGCAAGGGAGGGACTTTGCCAAATCAGCAGTTCTTGTTTTTGGGGCCGCCGAGAAGTTCACCACCCGCGGACAGGTACCTGAATCACGGCAGTTCTGAATCACAGCACTTCACCACCAATGTCCGAATGTAGACTGTTGAGAAATAAGACCCCCTACCAGAATGTTGGTGAAACCATGTGAAACCTTTTCATATGTGGAGATTTTCAAGTTGAACGATCGGAACCCAACGAACAAAGCATGTCCGTGTTGAGGGGTTGAAAACATGCAGATGCCGTGTTAAAGAGTTCTCATGTGTGAAACTTAAACCCATGTTGGAAAGAAGTGCCTGAAACACAGAATTATTGAATAGCCTGGACATGGTGACAGTTTTAATTTGGTTCTCCCCGGCAAATGCAGACCCAAAAAAAGGGGCCAAGAAGCATGTCTTGGGGCCCAAAACTGTGTGCCTTGGCTGGATCGCTCTTTGGCTGAGGCTTTCCATTTGTGGATGCTGGCATGCGGGAGCTGGCAGTCACTTGGAGAACCGTTTCCCAGTCACAAGTCATGACAGTGGATGTTCCCACTTTTCCTGGGAGTCTTTGATTTTGGAAGCATGTTGCAGCATCAGTTTTGGGTTTGGGCATGAAAGTCGGGTCTGCACTGTTCTATGTTAACCTGTTATTGGCAACTGCAAACTGGGCTCGTACAACAAGCGAACAGCAGCCGGTAGAATATCAACCACCAATGTCGTTGGCACCTAGTCCTGCAGTTCCTTCAGACACTGTAGAGTCCTGGTTGACTGATGCCCCTTTGGTAGAAAATGTTCAAAGCGCCAGTTGCTACTTTTCCCAACCGTGAACCAAGTGTTCGGTTGATTCAAGGTGGGGTTATTGGAATCCAAATGCATTTCGACATCTTGTAAGCTTTGATCAACCGATCTGGTTAAACTGCACCTTCACACCTATATATGCCTATAGTCTCTTCTTATATTCTTCGGTCCTTCATACCTCCCACTCTCCTGTTCGGCCCCAGCACCGCACCGAGGCCACCGGATACATCTCACACCTGCACCGTCAGTGCTGCGCAGCCTTTCTGGCGGCGTCCCCGGCGACCGGAGTGGGACCGAGGGGGGATGGACCGGGTGCGGCGACCGAGTGAGAAGGCCGCCTAGGCCCCTCACCCGACCGGTGTTTGTATGGGAATCAAAACACCGTAGAGCTGGACCAAACTCCCCACGATGATGTTAAAAATTACCACCCACTTCACAGCGGTCTTAAGGTGATCCGAAAAGAAGGTAAGGAGGTTTTTTTCCCGTTTCCTTGGGTGGCCAAAAATAGTCTTTGGATTTTTTGGGCTTAGCTACCTTGGAGCAATTATGCAGAATGTCACGAGAAGGGCTCAAACCGGGCTTCCTTGTCCGCGCACAAAGTGATGGAGCTTTGCAGCCAGTTTTGGGGGTATGGACATCTCTGGGCCGATGTTGACCCCCCAGATGACGCTCTTCGAGACTGGAGGACGTTTGCTTCGTTGCGCATCGGACCAGATCTCTAGCGAGGAGAGGTTTGCCCCTGAAGAATTTCCTGCAGAGCCGCCTGGTCCTCTTGGGCTGTGGGCAAAAGAACGTCGCCAAGGAAGGTGGTTTCTTGGGGGGCATTGCTCTTCATATATTTGCGCTTCGTTGCCCCAACAAGAAAGCAATATAATATAGCCCAAACATGTGAAATTATATAGATATACCAACAACAAGCAAAATACATAACTAATTCTGGGCCGAATGGTATATTATATCACCAGACTTTGTGGGCAAATCACCAAACTATGGAGATGGTCCCCCTCTGAAATGGAGACGGCTCGGACCTTCGATCGTCGCCCGATGCGCCTCCGAGGCTCGAGACCTGGGCCTCGACTGGCGCATGGGCGCCGAGCACTTCGAGTGGCTCGGCGGGTGGGCAACGCCGTGCACGTGGGCCCTGGGTGGTTTGGGGGGGTTGGAAGAAGGCAGGGTGGGGTGGGCGTTGGAAGGACGTCGGAGCGATTGTCCCTTGTCAACTTGAAATGAATCGATTTAGAGGACATGTGAAGTGTCAAATTGGGGACGGTGCCCCGTGGCCACTGACATTCTTGACCCCATGGCCTGACTATGGCCTGACTATGCTTGAGGGCGTTTCTGTTGGGAAGATCAGATGTCTTCGTTTTGCTTCAGTCGTACCTTCGTTTTGGAGATGGGACTGGGGTGGGTGCTAGGAAGGTCCTGTCATACCGAACCTGAAAAGGTACGCCCTAGGGGGGTTGAAGCTGGGAAGACCAGACAACTTTCACATCCCAGACAGGATTGAGTCCTGGCTTTTAACAAGGTGACACGAACAGGAATTCCCACTACTGGTACAATAGATGCCCTTCCTTGTTCAACGTGTTGTTCCAAGTCTGCATTAAGATCTACATGCTCTTTCTTGCCTTTCATTGAGAAGTGTTCATGGAGGATTCTGCAAGTACACCCAACACCCAGAATCATGGCTCTATGATTTTCTATGCAGTGTCAAAAGGCAACACCCATTTTGCGGGGGGGGGGGTGTAGACAACATGTAGGTGATATCGATTCTCACAGCAGCGGCCTTCATTGACACAGAATAAATGGTTGGATGGAGCCCATGGACTCCATGATGGTCTGGGGTGAAGAAACGGCCTCAGTCATCACGGAAGTGACGGAAGTCATCACGGTCTCAGATATGATGCCACTTCTGAGTCCAAAGGACATTTTTACCAGCAGCACCAAAAAGTGGTTCTTAGATGGAAAATCGATAGTCAGGGGGCGTCTAATTTCACCACCAGTTCATGGGTGGTGCGCCAGCACCTGTTTGGTATTCAGATTTCGTCCGAGCCGAAAATCGGGGGCCGTGTTCCATCGGCGATTCTGAAAACGCAGGGCCTGTAGAGAAACTGAATGGGGATTGCTGCGCGGTTTGAGATATGTCTATGTTCGACCTTTACTTGGAATGATTGAACCGTTGAACCGGACTCTTATTTTTTGTTTCAACAGAGTTTGCATTCTGTGCTTCAAGATCACAAAAGGTCCCACAATCCTTTTGTCTCCAAATTGGTCAAACCCCTCCCCACAGGCCCGATCTTTCACCAATGGACACGCGCAACACGATGGGCCCTGCCACACACACCGAAGGCCATGGTGCCCTCGTTTAGGTTCTGAACGGGCCACCCCTCTCCGCACCCCCTCTCCGGGTGCCGCCGCGTTCGGGTTCCGGCGGCGGTGCCGCGGCTTCCCGGCCGAGGTCCTGCTTGTTGGACCACACGCCGGACGCCAACTGGGGCAATTGGGCTTACCGGATCCTCCAACGGCCCTGCCTGGCGGAGACGCGGCGCAGCTATCCACTGGAGGAACACCTGAACACCGTCGAGGCCGGGTACGAGTATACCGGCCGGTACGAGTACGGGCCAGTGAGGTGGTGAGGGTGGGGGTTGGGGTGATCAGTTGGAGGATGTAGGAAGAAGGTGATCAGGAAGATGTAGGAAAGGTTGTAGGAAGACTTGGTCAAGCAGAAAGGCCAGCGGCAGATGCCACAAACCCTTAGCCTTTAGGGTTACTTTGAGGAAGCGGTCCGGAATGTTGAGATTCTGAAGGTTCGGCAACTGATATGTTGGCTTCGAATTAGTGTCTGCTCGGGGTATCGAAAAAGCTATCCCAGACACTCCAGGACAAGCTGCTCACACCAAGACATGAAACAAACTCATTCTCTCTAAAAAGGCCATGCATTGCACCGAATAAATCCTAATAGGCCATGCGAAGGACAAATGGTTCGCACCAAAGGTTGATCTCTGAGGTGTACCAAGAACGGCCACGCAAAGAAAGGCCCTCTCCACGAAACCGGCCCCATGAATCACCCAACACCAGCCACACGCACGTGGAGCAAGGCTGATCTGGCTGATCTGCACAAGAAGAAACAAATCACGCGCACGTGCCGCTATATAAAAGGGATCCTTTGAAACGATCTAACAGAGACTTAGGCCACTTAGCTAAGTCGACTTAATCCACTTAGCTAAGCCCGCTAATCCACTTAGCTAAGTCGACTCAGGCTCCTTAACTAAGTCGCGCCTAAGTCACTTAGAAGACTTAGCTAAGTCCGCCCTATCCAGTTAGATCAGTGGGTTCAGCCAGGCACACAACTTGGCAACATTTGCGAGCTAAGTCTTCTAACTGGTTAGATAAGATATAGATGTGTGAGTAACTATCTCTATTAGTGTTTGGCCAAGATAACAAGCGGTCATAAAAGCGAATTACAAGTTTGGTTAGACTATATGGTTATACTATAATAACTAAGTCTTCCAACAGTTACTAACCAGGGCAGTCCTCCAAGTAGGCCATGCTTCTCTTTTCCTTGGTGTCCTATAGAGACTCTGGTGTTTTTTCGCTCACACAACCACAGGTGGTGGTGTGGCCGGCGGTGCACGACGCCTTTCTCGAACATACCTTGCATTGGGTGCCGGAGCTCTCCTCCTTGCCCAAGGACCGAAGCGTCGCGCGGGCGTTGGGCGTTGCGTTCGGCGTTCGGCGTTGCCCGAAGAGCATGAGGTGACGCGCCCCAGCAGCGAAAGACACATCCGAAGAGCATGAAGTGTCAGTCGAAGAGGCCAAAGCTATACGCAAACCAACATGAGCCGCTGTCAACATGAGGATCATGAGGTGGGGGGAAACCTGTTCGCACAAAAACCCTTCGGAGAGTACACACGTCCCACCTGGCAAGGCATGGATGTTGTCCGACATGGAACGCGTTCCGACCCACGACGTAGGACTACACATCCTGGGGTTTTGCTGAGGATGACGTTTACGACGTAGGACTAGTCCCTATGAGTGAACCTTCTGGATCCTTCTGGGGAAAATGGTGTTGTTCCTGGTTCTTGAAGCAAACCCAAACATTCCTACCAGCACCTTCAAAGGGGTCATCAATGGAAGCCCCTACGCTACTTAGGGATCTCCATGTAAACACCCCATTCCAGGAAGTGACTTAGTGGTTTAACGTGTTTGAAGCATTTGCAGCCAGTGCGAGGATGATCACCAGATGTTAATTGACCGCCACCAGAGGTTACAAGACCTCTTGTTCGCTTTCTTCCCAGACGGACTGTTTGAAGATCCCTAGCAGCTGATTGCATGGATCGCCTGTCAGACTATGTCATGAGTTCAATCATCAACGCAAAGGTGCTGTCCAACTCCAATTCCAAAGTGGACATGTGTGACATGGATGTTTGGTGTTGGACCCTGGAGTCCTGATCCACTATCGAATCGAGCTTGACCTTCCAGGTAGGTCAATCAAAATATCCGGAGTGCCCCTGACCCACCACCCAGATGCTGTGGCCTGCCTGTCTCTCCTGACTTGTGCGACGAAAGTAGGGAATGTGGGTAACTGGATCCGGAAGAAATCTCTATTGAGAACTCATGTCCTTCTTCCCTAAAAAACCCGTCGCAGTCCATCCTTCTGCTTCATTCTTTTCGGATACCACCGAGCTTCCGGGTGCGGCTCCCGAATTCCGAGGACCTGGCACGTGAGCCGTGGCGCACCGAAGGGCGGCCGCTGAAGCGAATACCGATCAAACCCTACCAGGCTCGGCCCGAGCCGACGCACTTTTCGCGCGAAGGTGCGGCCCGGCCCACACCGGATCTTGGGCGGGCTGCGATCCGGTGCGATCTCTGGTTGGCCGCTGTGCCCGGTGGCAACCGTGTGTGTTTTGTTTTCTGTCTGCTTCTTGCTTTTTGGGGTCTTGGCGAGATGGGATGGTCTTGGCGTTTTTTCGGGTTGAGGAAGATGTCCCTTTTGGTGGCTGCTTTTGTCACGAACACGTTCGAACAACGCCCGGTGTGGGCGATCGACGGGAGCTGGCCAATGGAAGCCCCAGCCCACGACTATCCGGGATCTCCATGTAAAGACCTCTTTGAAGGTCCAACCTACCATGGTTCATGTCAACCTACCATGGTTTGGGGAGGGAGGTTTTGAGTTCCACAGCCACCTGACCTTTCCCCTCTCCAAGGGCTGAACAGCCTCGGGAAAGAGGAGCTTTGCACCGAGGGCTGGAGCCAGCCTTTTTACAAAAGGCGGTGGAAGGAATCACAGTCTTTGGAGATGTGCCAATAGAGCTCCTTTGGATACCCCCTGTTCCAAAGAACATGGTCCAGCAGTCACAAAGGGGTGCTTAATGGAGGTTAAGGGTGCCCATTATCCACTCACTTAGGGACTAAACACCACCCCTTTGTGACTCCTGGGTTTGTTCCATGGTTTTTTCCTCTTCTCTGCTTGTCACGGGTGCTTGACAGGAAAAGAACGTCTCACCACCAGTTCCTCCAGGCTGACGTTCTTCTGCTCCCAGACGACAACTGGCCACGAACATCCTGCGTTTCCCCCGGTTCCTGTTGACGCAAAGGTTCTGCTTTCCGCAGGACTCCCCGCTGTGGTTCTGCGCAGCCAACCGCACGAACTGGGATTACGAGTACTTCTGGCTGCCGGGGCACGCGTGGGTGGTCCAGCTGGGTGCTGGAGCAGGAGCTCCTGGGCTTAAGGAAATGAAGGGGTGGTTAATGGACACCCCTTTCCGTGGTGCTGGTTAAGGAGATGTTGCTTGAAGGGGCGTGATTGTTACCTTTGTTTGGTGGAGAGAAACCAAATAACATATAAAGATAGACAATTCTGGAAATGAGAGCCCCTACTATTTGATCTAGAACCACAGGAAGGACTCCACCCATGAGGAACCAGTTCTCAGAGTTGCGAAGGCTTAAAAGAGAGAGTGGAGAAGGCTCGCAGACTGAAAACTAGCAACGATCCTTGGACACTCCATCCATTGGGTCATGTTGTTGCATGGGTCTTTGTTCGCACAAAGGGAAACTGTTATAGGCCATCCATTGGCGCGTGGCAAAACCCTAACTCTAGGATTCCAACAACCATTTAATGGTTCTTACTTTAAAACTTATATTAGGCCTTTTACACTATACACCACCAGGTCGTTTCCATTCCTTTAATGGTCGAACGGGTCAGGCCAACGGGTTTTCATCAGATCCAATCGGATACCGGGCACTTCTCATGGGAACATCGCGAAATGGGCACATCCGGAGGCTTTCTGTTGCAGGTTCCACACTAGGATTTCAAAGCAATCAGTGGTTCCACACCGGTGTTGAGTTACCCCGGTGTGACTGGAGTTCAGCTAGAATACGTGCATATAAATGGAGATATATTCAGGATCTGAATTGGTAGGGTTCAAGTTTCAACCCCAAAGGGTACTAGTATAATCATGCCCGGCCCCATTCACTGTCAAATGTTGACATCCCAAACAGCTGGCCAAATGTGTGGGTGTGTGTTTGCCCATCCAAAATGACGAATTAGGGAAGGTTGACATCAAAGATGATCTGTGATTGGTTTTCACATGCTTTTCATCCATCACCAATGGGTCCTTTGGAGGTCTTCTCAATCAAGAAACCATCCAAACGTGCAATCTGAGGAACACCCATGGAGAGATTTTCAGCTGAGTCGCGACTACTTCCGCCCGCTGATCCCTGCGTTGAACGTGGAGATCGACCTGGATGTGCCTGGGCTAGGATGAGAGGCAGTCCCCAAAGCCATTTGATGTCGACTCTTGAAAATAACGGACTTGCGAGCATGTTCGCATCCACACATACCCTTGTCCTATTGTAGGACGGGTGTTGGAGGTGGTCTGTGAGAAAGAGAGCATGTTCGGACCAGGGGGGCTTCCAGAAAGGAAGAAAAGAAACACGTGCACAAAAAAAACAACCAGAATTGAAACACCTCTTCATACATATGGGGGGTTCTTAGTCTACCGAGTCGACCAGCACCACCCAGTTCAGGTTTTTCGTCCGACGCCCCAGTTCATACATGGAGTTGGTCATACAAAGATAGTATACCTAATACTGTTATAGTCATACAAGAACACTACTCAAGAACACTACTTACAAGAACACTACTCAAGAACACTTAAGCTGTATATTCACTACTTCAGCTGGAGTAGGGACATGAGCAGTGGCATGAGTTCATGTCAAACCTGGTCGGTCCAGTTTCCACTGAGCACCTCGGTCGGGACCGACCCTGAAGGGTGTCCCCTGGTCGAGCGCCGCTGGGGAGGGGGGACGACCGGCGTCTCCGTGACTACTGAGCCCGACCTGGAGTCGACCTGTTCGTACTTCAGAAAATGGGTACAAGCATGCACCTGTCTTGTTTAGGGTCGTGTCCCATGTTCTAAGGTACTTTGGAGGGTCCAGGTGCATGCTTTCCGGTCCCTCCAAGGTCACCGGATTGATTCGAGCCCTGGACTCCCCTCCAACCCGAGTATTTGGGGATTCGAGTCGCGGGTCGCGTCGTGTCGGGGTTCATGCTTTTGGGTCCGGTTTTCCTGACCTGAATGCCGCAAGCTTGAACCAAAGCCCTGCCTTTCTCGGCGGTCTTGGGAAGATCTCAGCCCCAAAAATGGACGCTGCACGGTTGAGGCCTTGCCCTTGCGCCATGCCTGGGGCGATACACCGCCCCAGCTGCGACCACACATCTGGGGAGGCGTCGCGGTCGGTGTGGGCGTGGAAGACCGTGGCTCTTCGATGGCGAAGAACATCTCGAAGTACATGTACCAGGGCCCTCACAACCATGAAAAACAAAGGTGTTCACGTACAAAAACCAGGGTTTTTTAGGGAAGACCTGGTTTTTGATGGTTTGTGGGGCCCCTGGTAGAGTACCAGTTTAGGTGGTTATTAGATGGAAACAAAAGATAGTTCAGGGCATGGGGTCTTTTCAACTACCCGGCTCCTGGGCGGTGCTGGTGTAGAGTTACCATCTAGTTAACGAAAAACATGGAAGAGATGAAGAGATGTAACAGTGCCCTGGAGCTCGCAGTCTTTGTTGAAGTCAATAGCTGCTACCATGAGAGCCATCCCTAGGGTTCCTGACCTGCCTCCGTTTCGAAGGTGCAAGCAGGGTGGGTGCCAGGGGGGGGATTCGAAAACACCAGACCTGAGGAGATGGGCCTTTCGGAGTCCCTTTTCGGAGCATATTAAGTAGGTGCCCTGTTCGAAAAACCCGACTCCTCTCATGGGGTCCGGCCCTTCTCACCAAGCGAGGAAGTAGGGCTGTCACGGAGGCCTCGGCCATGTGCCGCGGACTGCCCAGTCCAACGAGACCCAGTTCGTGGCTCAGGCGGCCTGCGAGTTCCGCAGAGATCTCCGCAGGCGCCGATGGACGCGGTCGACGGTTTCGTGTCGCGATCGGTGGCGCGAGCGAACCGGAAACCGAGCTGGTCAGTCGAGCCATTTGGTCTCCGTCTGGGCATGGAGGAGTTGGAGATAGTGGGAGGTAGTGGAAGGTGTGGACGAGATATCCTTCAGTGGAGTTGAGTTGGAGATTGTTGGAGGGTTCTGGCTCGCGAGCTCAGTCTTGTGGCATCTCTGGTGGTTTGTTCTGTAGAGCGGGATCAAATAGCGTCTTCGGCCAAAAAGAAATAGGGAGTGCCTAGAATTCTGAGGAAACTATTTGAATGTCCCCGTATAGTGCATATTTGACAAAAAGAGTTCCAGCTCCGTGCATCCCAGCAATGCACTAGCCCAACTGTGGCATTGATATAGATGAGTTCATTTGATAGATGTTTCTTCACCATTGCTCTCAGACACTCCATGTTACTGGAATCTATTGCCTATACAATCGACCCCTGTTTCAACACCCCAATGCAGGTAAGTATGCCAGTCCCATTCGTCGTGTCAAAGATTTCTTGACAGTTCCTTGGCTTCATCATGGTTCATTTGTTCCCATTGAAATCGGTCATCGCCAGAGATGTGGTGCCTTTTTCCTGGAAGTCCAGACCATGGCAGGAGACCTCCAAAGGAAAAGGCGGTTCTCGAAGAGGTGTCTTGGAAAGCAAACAAAGGGCGTCACCCCTACCAAGGGAAGGAGGGTGTTGCCAACTTGCTGCTATAGATAGGTGTGAGCCACACGGTCTAAGCCTAGTGACCCGCGTCGCGTGGCTTCGGTGCTTCGACGCGTCGCGCACGCGTAGACGCGTCGGCACGGCACTCAGTTCGGTCCACGAGTTCGGTCACGTCGATGGACCGGACGGACCGTTTGGCCTTGTTCAGCCCCGTGGGTTGAGGGGTTGATTTCTTCATGGTCGTCCGTCCCGTCCCCCCGCAGTGCATTCCGTCCGGACGTGGGTCGTGTCCGGTGAGGAAGCGAAGGAAGCGAAACCAAATGCAGCCCTACATCCTCAGGTTCGGTAGCTCCTGGACCCGTTCACCTGGCACCCGGGACCCCTATAACCGTCCGTCCCAGCTTCTCAGGTTCGGTAGCTCCTGGAGGCCAAAGGGGCCAGGTCTAGAAAGCAGTTCCATAGAGTTGGGTGCTATTTTTGGAGCACAAGCATAGAGGCGCCCCTGTCGCATCCACTGTATGGGACTATTAAACCATTGTTGTTGGAACTGCTGGTAGAAAGCAGAGCGTTTCCAACCCGGATTCAGGATTTGAATAGTACGCCTACCCTGGGTGGATTGCTTGTTTCCTGTGCACTGCTGGTCTTTGTTGGGAGGCCAGGTTTGAAGAGTAGTTGGTATGACACTGCAAGGAGTGGCGTTGCATGTCCGTTTTGCCAGACGCATGCTCAAGCCACTGTAAAAACGATAAGGAAAAGAACCGATAGCCCCGGAGACCTCCTAACTCTTGACACAATTCTGTTCTCAGGCTTGTGTCCCCCACAGATGGGACTATAGAAGTGGTGTGATCTTACGGTCCCATGGCATACTAACAGAGTGGTGCACTTCAAAGGTGGGACAATCCAGATAGATGGTTGTTTGTTAAGTATCTTCCTCTGCTTGAGGCACTCCTGTCTTCCCAGGAGCTATGCCATCCACTTCCATAACTATTTCACGAAGTGTATATGTTTGTGCCTCAAGATCCATTCATGAAGACTTCTCAGCTCCAACTGCATGAGTCCTGCAGATTACAAGAAGGGCGCCAAATCTGGGAAGTCTGGGAAGTCTGTAGCAGGAACCTGGGGAACCCATGGGGGGACCCAGTGGCATGGGTAAGTCCCAAAAGGAGCCGAGAGGTTGATGTCTTTTGGCCCAGTGTCCACCTGCGTCTAAGGCAAGGGCGGCGGTCGAGCAGAGATGTCTCGATCCTTGCTCCGCAGACTTATGAATCAGCTTTGCAGCACCCAGTTCGGGTGGTTTAGATAGACCCCCCAAGTTCTTCCCATGATGATGCTTTGTTCCATCCACTCTCCACCCAAGAAACACCCTGCGGAATAACACGCGATCCGATGGCCGGTCGGATCGCCGGACATAAGCAAGCAAGTCCACATGCTCAGCAAGCTTGGAAGCAAAGCCAGACACATGATCTCTCTGTGTTTTACTGATTAAGACACCCTAAGAATCCGGGCCCTCAAACACATAGCTTTTGGTGAAGGGGCCCAGACCGCTGCCATTGAGGGTTCTCTCCCCTGCCATGGAGAGCCTCAAGCTAGGATTCTTAGGGCATGAAGCAAGACTTCTCTTCTGAACTCCGAACCATGGAGTTGGTGGACGACACTCCGACTCCACCCCGCATGGGTGTCGGTCCGTGGTCGTCCGTGCTGGTGAATCGAAAACATGGTCCACCGGGCGCACCGGGCACCCGTGGTGGATGGGACTTTCAACTCGGAGGACCAAAGGATCTGAAGGGCCAAAACCGACCAAAGCGGTCTGGGGTCTGGGTGTGAACTATAACCCATACACTGCACTCCATGGGACTGCCGGACTGCCGATCAATTGACCCTACTATTGACCCTGCTGGCACCACCCCTGGCCGTTTCTCGGCAGTCCTATGGCAGTACCATGGAGCGTCTGGGTAATGTTCAACTGTTTCTCCTCATCCCTAGGCTTCCAGGAGGTTACCTCTTCAAATACCTGAACATGGCACCCACCCCAGTCCCACCTTCTAAGAAGCTCCGACGGGTGTCGCCCAAACGGGCATATGTTTCAGGTTTTGAACCCCCCCCAAAACCACCAGAGTGTTCTTCGTGCGTTCCGCGCCGATTTCGGCCAAGGATCCAGGTGGGTTTCTAAGGCTCCGAAGCCCATTCCAAAGCCATTCCCAGACACGACCCGTCTGGGACTGCCATAGATGCTGATCAGTTGGGGTGGTGGTGCCAGGGGGTCTGTCTGCGGCAGTCCTATGGCAGTCCCAGACGGGTCGTGTCTGGCAGTCCCAGTGGGACTGGGCCGTTCTCGTGCCCTTCCGTCGGGCGCCAGGGATGAGCACGAGCACCCGGGCATCGGGTCGAAGCCCCCATGCTTCGTCTCATTTCGAAAGAAAAACACATGGATTTGTAGGGAGAACCAGTTCGTTGAGCGAAGCATTCTTCCAGTTCTTCCAGACGTGGGCCGACAGACACCTTCCAGCACTGCCGGCTGGGCAGAGCAGACCGGAAAGCGCAGGGCAGGTCTGGACTGCGGTCGAGCTCCTTCAACGTCCATTTTGAACGAAGGTTGAGGATGAGGCATATCCGGGGATGACCAAACACATCCCGAGAGCGTGGGACCTCGGTCAAGAGGTCAAGACGGGAGACCCATGATGGGTCATCCCCAGACCCAGGGCCCCCCCACATGGCCCATCAAAAACCAGGTTTTCACAAGAAGAAACCATGATTTTTGTACGTGAAGACCTTTGTTTTTCATGGTTGTGAGGGCCCCTGGTAGCCACCTTAAAACCTTAATTTGTCCCATGGCAAACGCATTGGGAGGTGAGAATCCCCACATTGAAGGACCCCCTGTTCAGCCTGCCCACATGGAGTTCATAGACAAGGATCTCATCTCGGGCAGATTGTTTCAACACTTGATTCTCTTGTCCCCATGTTGGTCCATTCTCTTCTCAACACTTGATTCTCTTCAGCCATGATGGCAGATTTGGCTCAGCTAAATTGATCATCTCGTCCTTCACCTCCAACGCGACGATCTTCGCGCTGTCCCAAGGACCGCAATGACAGCCGACTGCTGTCGGTCGTAGATGGTTTCTGCCGGATGACCTTGTTCAGCGTATGCGCTTCTGCCAAGCAGAGGAGCGGCCAAATCACAACCGCCGAAGGCAGTTTTGGGAGGACCTTATGGATTGAACCCCTCTCGCTCGAAGGAGGGGTCAACTGGAGGACGGACTGGATGTGCCGAGAAGAAACGACTGGCGCCTTACCTGCTCACTGCGGCGGATCGAAAACTGTGGAAGTTGTTGGATCGAAAGCGTGAAAAAAGACCTGCAGGTTAGATGGTTGCCTTCTTTTGGGGGCCTTTTGAGCTTGATGGCAGAGAGTAGGCCACGAGACATTACCAGTCCCATATTGGTTTGGAAGTCACCTGAAACTCGGTGGAAGGGATGAGGAGGTGATTTGTGTTTTTTTGGGTTCCCCACTCAGTCGTGTTCCGTTCGACCCTTTCACAGGCATCATTGACCTAAATCTACTTGCATGGTTCGTGGTTGTTTCATGTTTGAGGTTTCGTGGAATTTGTTCAAAGATCAACTGGTTTTAGTCCCTCACACCCTCCCAGGTGATGACCTTTCCAAACTGTCCAGGATCGTAGGTTCAATTTTGCAACTTGTGCTGGAGGCTGAGCAGGTGCGACGATTGGTGGATGGCAAAACTGATTTCATCAAACCAGCGAACTGCTGGGGTAGCGCTGAACAAGCGCTGTGTCGCTGAACAAGCGACATTGATGGGATCAGTTTTTCCAATGGGATTTGCTGAAAGAGGCACTAACTGATCGGTAGATTCTGACTGCTATTTTTTGTTTGGCATCTGGTCGACGGGACGGGAAAGGCTGAGTCAGAGCCAGAACAGTCTGTGTGATTTTACCGCCCACTGAAAGATGTGGGACGCTTAGAGTAAAGAAACCATCTGCACATGGTTAACAAACACCCAGACACACTGCGACATGGGTCTACACGTGGCAGGTGTTGAATGCAGATTTTAGGTGGTGAATGCTGTCGTACATATCTCTCTTTACACTTTGCCTCAGAGCCTCTCGAAGCCTCAAAGTTTCTAGATTCAAAGCCTTGCCCTGTCCTAACCTCGCCTGATCTCTGCTGCGTAGCTGAAACTGTTAGGTTGGAGCAACAATTCTTACTCTAGGGATTGGCAATTAGAATTGCAATGTTTTTCAAGAATCTTTGTACGGAGAGATTGGGAGTGCTTTCCACTCTCTCTACCAGACCAACGGGCCGCGAAGGCTTCCGCCCCACAGTGCTGCTTGGAGGCAAAAGTCAGACCTGATCCGAGAGATTGCGCACGCTAACCAGTACTCCCGCGGGCTGAAGAAGCTGAAGAAGAGTGATTGTTTTTCACCGCGCCAGCCAGCATGCACAGTTTGGTGCGCAATGACATGAAGCCCCGAAGCAACCACAAGCAAGAAGAACACCAACACCAATGGTTGGTTTGAAGCAATGGAGTGAGATTGATTTGAACACTGGCGAGGGAGGCTGCTTGGGCGAGACCTATTGGAAAATTCCATTGAAGTCGGGCAAGGCCCTCCTCATATTCTGTCTTGGGCGTCCGATTGTTTCTTTCATCACCAGTGACTAATCTGCCGAGTCACTTCTTTCGTTCGTTTTTTCTTTGCTTTCTTGTCCTTCTTGTTTGCCTTGTCTTTCTTGACAGGCCGCTGTGGAGACTCTCTCTTTTCCACTTTGGGCTTCACCGAGCCATCTGTCGAGTCACTTCTTTGGTTCTTTTTTTCTTTGCTTTCTTGTCGGTCTTTTTGGCCTCGTCCTTCGTGACAGGCTTTTCAATCTTCTCCACCTTGGGCTCCTCTGAGCCCTCCTCTTTCGCAGGCTTGATTCTCTTCTTTTGGTGCATCCAAGTTCTTCCGCTCCTTTGGCTTTTCTTCATTCTTTTGGTGACCACTCTTCTTTGCCAGTTTTGCGATTTTGCTCTCCTCGTCTTTTCCGGGCTTCACATCTTTCTCCTTCGATGCTTGCTTCACCTCCGTCTTCTTCTCTGCTTTTGACTGGTCGTCAGTCTTGTCCTTGCCGTTTCCCTGCGGCAGATCCTCCTTCAAGCCTTTCTCCTCTCTACTTTGTTCTTCTATCGGCGCTGCCTTCTTCTGCTTTCTGTGGTCCTTCATCCTTTCTGCCACTCACGTGGCAGATCCTGCTCTGGCCCCATCTTCTTGGCCTTTTTGTCTTTTGTGCTGCCCTTTTCGTCGTCGGGCTCCGGTGTCAACGTCTCCATCTTGGCTTGCCGAATAGCCTGGATCTCGTCCGCGGACACAAATTCTGGGTAGAGGAACGGTTCCTGAGCAGAGTGTGGGGCGTACGGCATATGCAAAAGCCTGTAAATTGTAGAGCCTGATCGTGCCTGGTCTCAAACAAAGCCAGCCTCCTTGACGTGCCCACCTCAGCCTTCGATTCTGGCTTTGCCGCTTGCTGCTGCGGAACTGGCCGCGCTGGTAGTTGATGCCATCTTTCTCTCTTCCTGGCCAGGGAGTGGCTTGCAAAAGGCAAGATAGAAGCCGAAGGCTCCTATAGCGCTTGTGCAGCGCTCCTTACAACGCTTGTCCAGCGCTCCTTTTACAGCCATTTTTTCTGACTTGCAGCAGAAACGGGAATCTGTTGGGCACATGCTCATAATGAGACTGTGGCTAGATGGGGCTACATGCGCTGCTCGCACCAGGCCTCCATGCGACGCTCCAGTGCCATCATCCTCAAGGCCTGGTCCTGCACACGGCTGCTGGTGGGTGCCCGCGATCACGCCGTGATCACTGTTTAGCGTGCACGTTATCTCAGTCTGGATGCCAGCCATACCGAAAAGCGTCATGCTCAAGTCTGCCAAGGAACAAGTTCATTACCCACGACGCTCTGGGGCCTCAGAGTCTTAGCAGGGGAGAGCGCAAGAGGTACACTTAGAATATACCTTGAGGTGAGGTGCAGAGAAACATACGGAAACCCTGTCACGTGTAGACCCACTTCGCAGTGTGTCTGGGTGTTTGTTGCACTTCGGGGTTCATGCCTTATCCTGCCCACTCAGAGCTAAGAGAAACCATGTGCAGATGGTTTCTTTACTCTAAGCGTCCCACATCTTTCAGTGGGCGGTAAAATCACACAGACTGTTCTGGCTCTGACTCAGCCTTTCCCGTCCCGTCGACCGGATGCCAAACAAAAAATAGCAGTCAGAATCTACGGATCAGTTAGTGCCTCTTTCAGCAAATCCCATCGGAAAAACTGATCCCATCAATGTCGCTTGTTCAGCGACACAGCGCTTGTTCAGCGCTACCCCAGCAGTTCGCTGGTTTGATGGCATCTTTGGGCATCTACCCGCCGCTGCCCAGCCTCCAGCACAAGTTACAAAATAGAACCTACGATCCTGGACATTTTGGAAGGGTCATCACCTGTGAGGGAGTGAGGGACTAAAACCAGTTGACATTTGAGCAAACTCCAAGAAACCTCAAACATGAAACAACCACGAACGACGCAAGTAGATTCCTAGCATCGACAGGAAGTGCCCAAATGGTGCCAATGTTTTTCTGGTGCCCATCATTTCTCACTTCCCCCAACACCATATTCATGGGCCTTTTGTTCGCGCAGGCCCTAGTCAGAGGTTCGGAAAAGGTGCTCACGCGCTCGTCGCCTGGGACATCGCCGCGATATCACCGCGATGCCAAAACCCAGAAGCGAAACGCCAGTCGTTTTCGTAAGAGATCAAAACAGGGCACGGAGAGAGATCAAGTGCCAGTTTCGAGACACTTTCCCCACATATGATGTTTATTGTAATATATTGTATTCGTTTTTTGGGGGTGGCTAGGCCAGCCTTTTGGTCATAGTAGATGGAGGATTGGCTCCATTTGCTTGGCAGCGTTCCTTCGTCTTGGCAGCGTTGGGCGGCTCAAAAGTCGGACCGAGACCCGACGTCCGAGTTGCAGTCCCGATCGCCAAAATGCACATGGATGAAGAGGAGAGCCTCTTTCTTTGGTGCGGCTTTTTTGATGATTCCTCAAACAGTGTGGTCACACTAGGGGTTCTTACGGTACTATATAAAGGAAGATGTCTAATCGACGTGTCAGGCGGTCGTGTCCGGCTAGTTCGTTGCTATACGGCACATTCATGCCTCTCGAAATAGTCCGAAGTGCATTTCGACTGCGCAGGCTCGCAAGGGAAAACTCGTGTTTTGGTGGTCCAAAGTCGACTTTTCGTGACAGGCGCAAGGGAGCGGTTTTACTTCGAAATGCAGATTTCGTGGCAGGCACAGTACTTCTGGATATGGTGGTGATCTTCAACGCGCTCTAATTTCATCGCAGGTGCAGTGAATCGTGACTCTTCTTGAGGCTCGTTTTCAGAAGTCTCGGAAATCTCGCGCGAAAGCTGCGTTTTGGCATCTGGATGTTGTCTTCTTGCGGCAAAGCGCCTTGGCAGGGCTGCGGCATGTGAATCTTGAAGCGCAGATTTCGTGGCAGGCGCAGCACTTTGTGAAGCTCGAAGTGCAGATTTCGTGGCAGGCACAGCACTTTGTGAACCTCAAAGTGCAGAGTTCGTGCCAGGCGCAGCACTTTGTGAACATCCATGCGCAGATTTCGTGACAGGCACAGTGGGAATTTCGAAGTGCATTTCATGGCAGGCGCAGCAATCTGTGCTTTCCGACACGCGCTCTCAGATGCGTTCTCTGATGACTGTGCTCTCAGATGTGTGCTCTCTAAGCCTTGGTCTCTAGATCTCTAGACCGAGAGACCGACTTCGTCAATTCACTCTCTAGATCTAGGCCTACGCCTTTGTCGTTTTTATCTCTACTTCGATCGTTCTCCCGACCTCTAGACCATTCTTCAGACTCTTGCTTCTAGACCTCAAGAACTAGAGTTCGTTTTTGTTTGGCGATTTCAACTTGCATGTTTGCAGTGAAATGCTTTGCATTTGCAAAATGTTGCCTGTGTGCTCTCATGCCCGACACCTCATCTATGTGCGGCTCCGCGACGCCCACTCAGACCCTGCAAAGGACAAAGACGTGCG